AACAGCTTTAAAATTAACTTAATTATTGTCCTCTTAAACTTTGTAATGTTGTAATTAGACCTGTTTATCCAACCTTATATTTCCTTCCTAATGTTTGCTAGATTTGCTTTATATTGCTGACCTAAGCTCTTTAGATTAAATTCTTAGATTTGTGCTTTTTAATTAATATTTATGCATAAGTTATAAATCTTAGAATCTTCTTTATTTATTATCTCTACTTATCCCTTATTGCTGACTTCTTTAATGCGCTTATCCAACACTCCTATTAGTTGCTGAGAGTTGCTTAATTAAGATTGCAACTTGCAGATTTAGCTTTAAATCTCCCTATTAATTTATGTAAGTTTTTTTAACATTTTATATACATAATTTAATTATTATGTGAGTAACTCTTAATAGCTATTTATATTACTAAGGATTTTAAGTATTACAGCCTTTTATTCTTTTATTTAAGTAATCTTTGCCTAAAAGAATATAATTATAGCTGTTATATTTAAAGGGATTGCATTATTAAAACTTTTAATTTGCTGTTTTAAAAAAGTTATATTATTTAAATATGTGGTGGATTAGGTTCTTAGTATAATTATTAATTAATTAAGGTAGAATTTTATTAATTAGCAATTTTTATTAACCTAAAGTATAATAGCTATGCTTTGTACTAATTCCACCATGCTATTTATACCGTAGCATTAGTGCTGTAAGATTATTATATTAAACTTGGGCCATCTTAATAATAATCCTTTTAAATCTTAATTAAGCACTTTGTAACAAGATAGTAATATAAAAAATAGTTGCATTAACCACTAATACTAGCAGTAATTAAGCCGCCCCCTTAACTTGTATGTAATTATGTTTAAGCATGCAGCTAAAGATTATTCACACTTAGCCCTAATGTAAATTAAGCTTGCTAACGCTCTTTTTTATTCACACCGCATATAAGCATTAGCACATTATAATTATGCTAGATGGATGCAGGGCTTTTACACAATGCGCTATTAATATGCAGAAAGATATTATTATTTATGCAGATTAAAAGCAAATTTAAAATAAGGCTAAAGGTCCGGAAATATTAAAACTGCATTTTAATTACCCTTTTGCCTCCTTAATAAAATATACTTTACTAATTATTAATATGTATATTTTTCTTATTTATTTTAAGTAAAGCCTAACAGAAATAAAACAAAATAAAATATGGATTTCACACAAATAATCCTTAATATTTAGGCCTAATTAAAGGCTGGTAGCTATTAAATTATACATACCTTATTTAAGTTGTGTGAAAAGGATGTTTAAAAATGCAAGAGATTATTATTATTATATTATTAATTAAAGCTTTAATTATTCCCTTTAATATTGCAGAGGCTTAGGGCATAATTTTATTTTTATAATTTAGATTAGTAAAGAAAATAAACCTTATGTATAAAATTAGCTTAAGTTGCCTACTTATTAAGTTTTTTATTTTAATTAAGTAAGGCCGGAAATTATTTACTTAAATTTTTAATATTATCTTCCTGCTATTAATTAAGCTATATTATAAATTATTTTATAAGGGTGGAATTTTTAACCCATGTTATAAATCTTAAGTTATGCCACATAATAAGAATTTAATAAAATAAGAGATAAATAACTTTATTAAATAATAAATAATTATGCTATATATTAAGGTAATAATTAATATGTAAGCGCTTTAATTAAATTAACCTTTATATTATTAAATATAATAAATAAAATAGTATTATAACTGCGTAATATTATATGCAGGAAAGAAAACACAGTTTTTATGCTTTAATATAATTAAAGATTAATTAAGCTGCATTATATTTATAAGCGCTTAATTAATTGCTAAATTTAAACCTTATAAAAGAATTTAGAGTATTAAAGGCGGCAAGTAATATTAAAGCAAAAATGCTAATGCTTAAACACTAAAGTTAGACCAAAAATAAGCCAAAAGTAAATTAATAGCAAAATCCTTAGAAGCTCATCTCCAAAAAAAAGTCCCCACCCCAGGTAGGTAAAGTCCTTAAAGAGCCACTGGACTCCTTTGTGGACTTATAGGGACTTCTAACTTCGCGACTCCCCTCCTTGGGGACCTCGCCGCCTTGAGGACCTCGCCTCCCTAGGGACTTCGCCTCCCAGGGACTTCGCCTCGCCTCCTTAGGCACTCCACCTCCCCAGAATTTCACCTCCCCAGGACTTCGCCCACTTCTCCTCCCTAGGGACTTTGCCTCCCTAGGGACTTCGTCTCCCTAGGCACTTCTCCTCCCCAGAGACTTCGCCTCCCCAGGGACTTCGTCTCCCTAGGCACTTCTCCTCCCCAGGGACTTCGCCTCCCCAGGGACTTCGCCTCCCCAGGGACTTCCCCTCCCCAGGGACTTCGCCTCCCCAGGGACTTCTCCTCCCCAGGGACTTTGTCTCCCTAGGGACTTCGCCTCCCCAGGGACTTCGTCTCCCCAGGCTTCGTCTCCCCAGGGACTTCGTCTCCC